CCCCCCAAGGTAAAGAAAAACTGGGCAGCAGTGGGTACTCATGTTGCTGATGCTGTAGAGATCAGCACCACAGGAAACTTAAACAAATTGTCCGATAGCAACATGCTGTTGCAGATGTTATTTATCCCTGGCTCCCAGAAAAGAACAAAAAAGTTCAACATCTATTTCAGAAATCATGCTACTATGCAACATTTCACTAGTTAAGCAGAATAGCAACTATTTTAAGTCCTACATGTGAGAATTGTATTTTTTATGAATTTTAACTTAATTTTACAAAATGTTTTAAAATATCATATCACTACTTTTTAGACTTCAATGCAGAGAATGCAGTATGCTTACGCTTAATGACTATTTTTATTTACTAGAGTTGTTAGGGGACCAAATGGACCTTACGCATAGCCCTTTGAAATCCTGCACATAGAAAATGCTACACAGATGTTATAGAGGTTAGGCCAAGACAGACTGCAGAAATTATTTGAATTGGATCGCCCAGCTCGAATGTCTGACTTATGCACCAATATTATATTGCTCTGTAGAGAGTGAAAAATTTCTTAAAGTAATAAAAATACCTAAGCTTTCTTTCAATGTTTAAAAAAACTCAAATGTTTCTAAGAATTAGAATTCAATCTAATTACTTTGAACAGCTAGAGATGAAGTTTTTAATTTGATCTCTCTCTAGATCTGCTATGGAAGTTATTGTTCTGAATACTGACAGTATCTTCAGCTTTTTTGATATTTATTAAAAACACTGAATTACACAGTGCATGCTCCATTAAAATATGAGGCAAGACTGCCTTTCTTCAAGCAATAAATAAAGGCAAGTTACAACATTTAGTCAAAGGCATATACAAGTACTCGGCTATAAACAGATCCAGGTGATCCCATTTTGTGACTGTACCAAAGGAAACATACAGCAAAATACAGTACTTCTTCCTGCACACGACTTTAAAACAAACCAACTCTCCAAACTACTTCCCTTGATTGGGTTCTAACAAATACCTGGATTACTGCAATTTTTGTTAAGATTTTAATTCCTCTTCAGAGCACAAAGCCAGTAATTTATTTATTTTTAAGTGACAGAACATGTTGCTTCTATCTCTGTACCACATCCTGGCTGTCTACAGTATCAGTTTCTAACTTTGTCTTTAAAACCTGGGTTATACATTTCCCCAGCATGAGCGAAGAACATCTTGCCCAAATGCAGAGATGAAATACAGGCCCCTCATGCCTGAAAAATGTGCCTTTTCTGTGTTCTAGGTCTTTATTTATGTCATATCCACAGGGATGGATCTTTCAAATTCTATGTACTGAATACATACAATTATTATTATAGATTACACAGGCATTCAGTAACTATCACTACACCTTGAGTCCTCAATTACAATGTACTTTTTACATTCCAGTATATTACAGCCTTTTTGGATGAAACAGCCTCTACTACAACAGCAGTAACACATCATGAAAAATGATTCAATATTTGTTTCGGGATAAACAAAGCTTCTTGAACACAAGGAGGTCACTGCAACACAAGGATTTCAAGTATTTCATAAATGGTACAAAAATTACTTGAAGCTTTCCTCTCCTCAATTGTTTTAAACTTCCAGCTACTTCCTCCTCAAAACTGAAATAGCGCAAGAATTGCAGTTTAACAGCAATATAATTGTTTACAGTTTGAAGACTTGAAAAAAATGTAGATAAATAAATGGGAGACCATTCAAGCTCTCTGCCTTACCTTGTAAAGAACATGTGTGAATGCACTAAAAGCAGAGTGATCAGGAATCTCCAAATCACTAAATTAAACTTTATGATAGCAAGGAGAGCCGTAAGACCTACACTAACTATCATGTTCTTTAAAGCTGAGAAGATATTGTGGGTAAATAACCGTTTTCTTCTCTTTTTCTTGTACGGGTGTAAGTGTATTCTGCTGCAGATGAGCTGTATCTGCTAAGGGTGACAGGAATAAGGCATTTCAACTGCAGCATTCGTACAATTACTGACTAGTGCTCTCCCAAACCTTTTATGTGACCTCCCAGTGAAGTACAAAGCACAGTGCTCGGGGTCAGCGGGGTTACTTCACAACAATAGTTCTCCTATAACTGGCATGGGTCTGCAGCAGGTGGAAGAAATTTCTTGTGTTCTGGGAGAATAAAGCCTGCATGGTTCCCAAAGAGCACTACCAGCCAACCAGAAACATTAAGATATATGCTACATAATTCATTTTGAGAATCTCTGAGAAGAGAGCTTGCCCTTTTTAAATATTCCTTCGTATGAGAAGGAGACAGGTTAGAGGGCAGCAGTCCCCAACAGGGAAGTCTGTGACAACAAGAACAAATTGCTCCAGCAAATTGCTCCCCTTACCTTGAAGTCTTTGATAAGGATTTGTATTATACATGTTTATCATGAAACACAACTGTCTCCAAAACAAAAGGAATTTGCTGCGCCCGTCAGTGACAGTTCTGTCAATTGCAGAACTCACTTGCACAACACATTTTGTCCTCTAATACAGAAGTATAAAATGAGTTCATCTTTCACCTTCCCCTCCTCTTCTTTTAAATTGGATGCTCTGAATTTACAAAAATGAAGAGAAAATGTGATCAGATTTGCTGTCCAGACATTCAAGAGAATGGGGCTCACAGCCTCCACAGAGAGTAGGAGAACTGAAAGATGCTGGAGGAACTCTCAAAGCAGTAGAGAACATGTGGGAATCCAGAAGTTTTGTTAAACAAAATGTGCACACCACGGTGGGATGCTCACTTTTACACATAATCAGAACGAGCTGAAGCATTTCCTCTAAGTGGAGTCCATTAGACAGACTGACAATCTTCCTATACTGTCAGTCCGAGAAGTGTAATAATGCAAAGTAAGTCTTTATGCTGCTAGACAAGCAAGGCTCTGTAGTATGGATTGCCTTCAATTATCTGGAAAAAACAAAGATGGAGTACACATAACGAATGAAAAGCCCTCATTTGATCAAGGGCAACAGTTGAGGAACAGCGAGCTATTTTTTTGAGTTTTCAGAAGCTGAGTAATGTACTTCTCTTCATAATAAATATGTTTGTATAGCCAAAGCAGCAATATTCTATTAATCAGGGGGTGTGGCAGTTTCCATCTGCTAGTTTACAGGCTTTTCAGGGCTACCATCTGTTTTCTCTTCATGTAACAAGTAAGCAGCTTGACTTCTAACGTTGCTTACACTCTCAAATTATTCAATTTTCTGACTAAGATCCAGAAAGTATGCTGCACCTAAGACACTAAGTACAAAATAAGCCACTCAGAAAATCCATTAGAAGACATCAATGAAAAAGTTTTTCTGTAACCTTTCCCCAACCCTCAATGACACCTTGGGGGAAAAAATATTCCAGGGTTTGCCTTCTTTATATGTGTTTGATATCTAACAGTTAACATCTCAGACTAAAAACTATGCCTTGTCTACAACTTCTTACATGAGGACCACTAAGTCCATTCTTACACGGGTAAGATGCAATCACTTCACTGTAAGATTCTACCAAAATTCATCCAAGTTGCAGCACAGCACAGTGCTTTGGAAGATAATGAACTTCCAATTTCATTACATTAGATGGAAAAAATGTATTCTGCCTTTTACAAAGGAAATCTGGGCATGGAGAAGGGAATAACTGGGTTCAAGTTTTACAGATGTAAATGGTTTGCTTGGGAAACTTATTTGTTCAAAAATCAAGATATTTGCCTGTAAAATAGAATTAAATATGTGTGTACATCTATTTAAATATATTTAGTAAAATACATTAGAAGGAATGTAAGACTTACGGCCCACCCTAAAGTCCAAGTTTAGTATTTGTAACCCAGATTGTTTCCTTCACTGCATTACACAGTGGACACTGTTTCATTAGATGGCCAGGTTATCATCTGGCTTTAACAGAAACTACAACTTACTTCATAACAAGGAACATGGTGTTATACTGAATTACGTAATATTATGGTTTCAAACAATTGCATTACTATGGCTGCAAAGAAAGCTTCCTCAGTTTGATTTCCATATGAACAGGCAACAATTACACATTCAAGAATGTGTAAGCAATATGAAAGAATAACTTGACTGTATACCTCATCTCTCAGTAAAACTACAAAAATATTAACCTGTCACTGTTTTACTACTGATAAGCTATCCAAGTAGTTATTTCAGCTAAAATTAAGTATCAGTCTGTAAAAAAATGAGAAATCCCAAACGCAGCAGTCTATAAATACTTGTGAACCCAAATATTTGTGTAATATTTAAGAAATTCTAGTTATGTCTTACAACCTCTACCACAGAGTCAAGAATTTACAGCAAAATATTAAAAAAAATACATACACAGAAAATTGAAATGTAAAAGTTATGCCAGCAAAAGGAAAACAAACATATCAAAATGATCATCAGAAATATGTTCATGGTCATGTTAATACACGATTTTTCTTGTAATCAGAAACTGTTACTGAGCACCCAAAAAGCAATATCCAACAGAAGTTTGGAGCAGTCCTGAAACAGTGCTTCAACCTGCCAAAATGCAAATAAAGTTTTTGAAACTAAGAGTTCTCACTAGTACAATGCTATAATATTAAAAATTGAGGTAAATTGTGCAGTATACATTCACGTATAATACAGAATCTCAATGTTATTACTACATATAATTGACTGATCAAGTTCAGTACTTCGAAGAGACTATATTGCCCACATGCTTCAAATTATTTTTCTAATATATCTTAAAGCCTTTTCTAAGATCACGTTTTCCTTATAAACTCTTCTATTTAAACACTGGCAA